GGGGCCACCATGACGAATGATCTCAAACAGGGTGGATGAAGCAACAGAAAGTTCCTTAATTCACAGATTTGGAGGCCAGCGATCTGAGTCAGGGTGCCTGCTGCCCCTGAAGGCTCTGGGGAGAATCCTTCCTTGTGTTATCGTAGTATCTGGTGGCTCTAGGATAATGTCATCTCAAGAACCCTAAGGAGCCTTCATCAGTTTGGCTCAGCAGATAGCACGCTGCTCTGCAGACTGATTCTGGTTAAGGGCACATGTCCAGGTTGTGACTTGACCCCCCAGTTGGGGGCGTGCAGGAGGCAGCCAATCAATGATTCTCTCTCTCATCATTGATGTTTCCATTTCTCGCTCCTTTTCCCTTCCTCTCTGAAGTCAATCAAAATATATTTAAAAAGAAAAAGAACCCTAAATCTGTTTCCAAATCAAGTCCCATCCTAAGGTTCCAGATGGACATGAACTTTGGGGGACACCGTTGAACTCATTACACATTAAAAAAAAGGAGAAAAACCAACAGTTAAATTTAATTAATTTCATCCTTTATTTAACCCAAATACCAAAATAGCATTATAACGTGTAATGGCTGGAAAAGAATTTTTAATGAGATATTTTAGTATTTTTTTGGGGGGGGGAGGGAGAGTACTAACTCTTTGAAATCCAATATTTTATATTTACAAGTGCAGCTGACCTTGGGCCTACCACTTTCAAAGACTTGGTATCCACGTGTGGCTGGCTGCCATGTATTGGCCTGGCTGGAGTGCTGTGTGTCTGACAAAGCTTCTGTATGCCTCAGTATTTGCCCTGTGTTTGCTCCCTCCCTCTTTTCTCTCTTGCTCCCTTCATCCTCCTCTTTTTTTTTTTTTTTTTTTAGGGGAATTTTCTATTCATTTGGGAAAAAGTCTCCATCGTTCTGAACAAAAGAAATAAAAATCTACTTGGTAAAAACTACTGGGGTCCCAAGACTCAGTGGAGGAAGCAAAGTTAGCCAGCTTTGAAAGAAAGCATTCAGTTACATGTTTCAGCCTAAGTGTTTATTGTTGGCAAAATTCATCAAACCCATCAATAAGTGTGGCTGATGTTCGGGATGTAGCATTTTTATGTTGAGCAGGGGAGATGCGAGGCTTTATTATGACAAATCTCCCTGCCAGGAGATGCGTGACCCACCATTTATCTGCCCCTCACGAAGGCCACCATTGTTCTCTGCCAAGTTAAGACAAAAAAATGGCATAAATTTCTTTCTGGGCTGATTGCTGTAAGCCTGTTGCAATAATGAAATTAAAATTTATAAATCTTTTAAAAATCTGTGTTGTCTCTCCAAGAATTGCAAGCTTGTTATTTTTTTGGCTTGGATCTCAGTGAGAGAATAGAGGCTTTATAAGCAACTCCACAGGGAAAAATGTTTTGGATCCTTGAATTCTTAAATGTGGTTTGTGATAAGGATGTGGTTTCTACCATCCCTCGCACCAATTTATGCTGAGCTGTTAGTGTCATCGGAATTTTTTTCCTCAGGTGGATCAATGTTAAAGAAAATTAGCAAGCAGCCTGTGAATATGAATATCGTAGAGAAAAATACATAGTACAATGTGAATGTCCCTTCCCCTACCCTACTCTTGCCTCCCACATAAGTATGTATCTATCTAGTTCCTCTATATATTCACATACATATATATTTAAATTGTTTACTCACGTATTTTTAAAAAAATATATTTTATTGATTTTTTACAGAGAGGAAGGGAAAAAGATAGAGAGCTAGGAACATCGATGAGAGAGAGACATCGACTAGCCGCCTCCTGCACACCCCCTACTGGGGATGTGCCCACAACCGATGTACATGCCCTTGACCGGAATCGAACCTGGGACCCCTCAATCCGCAGACCAACGCTCCACCACTGTGCCAAACCAGTTTCAGCTACTCACGTATTTTTAAAAAAATATATTTTTATTTCAGAGAAGAAGGGAGAAGGAGAGAGTGATAGAAACATCATTGATGAAAGAGAATCATTGATAAGCTGCCTCCTGCACACCCCCTACTGGGGATCTAGGCCACAACCTGGGCATGTTCCCTTGGCTGGAATCGAACCCAGGATCTTTCAGTCTGCAGGCCAATACTCTATCCATTGAGCCAAACCAGCTAGGAAAAATCATGTATTTTTAAAAAAAACATAATTACTTTATGCTATGTATTGTTCTATAGCTTGCTTTTTTTGCCATTCACAAGGACTTAAGACATTTTCCATGTCAGTACAAACAGCCTTCTTCTCCATAAAGGTGGCATAATAGTCTGTGGTACCAATCTATGTAATTTCTTAAAAGAATATATTTTTATTGATTTCAGAGAGGAAGGGACAGAGAGAGGGAGAGAGACACATCAGTGGTGAGAGAGAATCACAGATCGGCTGTCTCCTGCATGCCCCCTACTTGGGATTGAGCCCTCCCACAATCTGGGCATGTGCCTGACCTGAAATTGAACCATGACTTCCTGGTTCATAGGTCAAAGCTCAACCACTGAGCCACACTAGCTGGACTCGGTTGAATTTTTAAGATAAATATCATAAATAAAAAAGGAAGGGTAATTTTATTTATAATATATTTGTTTAAAACGATAATTTAGGAATTTTAAGCTACATATGTTCTGTCCTCTTCACAAAAATCCTAGAAAATGCTAACAGAAAGGAGTTATCTCCCTCCCCCTCCCTCTCCCCCCCTTCCCAACCTCTCGGTCACACTGCTTCTGGTGAGCCTCACTGGTCTCCGATCTCATAGCGCAGCAGGCACCGTAGTTCCCAGGCTTAGACTGCTGTTCTCCATACTCCCAAGTCTCTGGCTATTACAGGTTTTTTTTTTTCCCTTTGAGGTTTGACCTGCTGTACTTAATTGATTTGCTGGGACTGTTTTGTCATCATTTTTCTTTCTCTAACCAAACGGCCTTTTGGGAAAGGGCACTCAGATCAAACCAGCAGCTCTGAAACGCTGGAGACTTTGACCTAGTTATTCCGCTCTTACGGAAGGCGTGGTCCCCAATGGAGCTGGTCCCCTCTATTTCTGCAAACGCTGTGGGGCTGCTTCCTTGGGTGTAAGTTCTCACCAGAGTCTTCCTCGAGAACACAGCCTCTGAGATCCTTCCAATCGCAGGAGAGGTGGGGGGGCTCTTGGCAGAGAATTTCAAAAGCAATGGGGGGAACCGCCAGGTCCTGCCCGATGCCTGGCCACACCAAAGAGGATGAGTTGCGCATCAGAGGTTGTGCTGCTGTGGCTGCTGATGGAGGTCCTCCTTTCGGTCCAGCCTCGCCTTGTTCGCGGTGATGAACTGTGAAAAGCAATCAGGTTTAGGCTGCCTAGATTCCCCGGGCCTGCTGGGAAGGGTTTTCCTTCTTCCACCTTGACCCTTCTTGCCTTGCCAATTAATTATTCTTTTTACGCTTCACACACCTACACACGTCAGAAACTGTCCCTGTTTTGGGAGAACTTTCTGTAGGAGGTCAAGGCAGCAGCCATTCTGTAATTTTCTACAAGTCAGACTTCTGCTCACTTCAGCAGTCCGGAGCACGGCAGGGCGTGGGGTGGGGAACTATTGCAGGGAGAAAAGACCTCGGAGGGTACAATGATCCAACACAAAGCCCAAGCACAAGAATCTATGCAATTTGTTTGACAGGCCAGTGCTGTCCAGTAGAAGTAGAATGCGAACCATATGTGTCATTTTCAATGTTCCCGGTAGCCACATTAAAAAAGCAAAAACACACGGGTCAAATGAACTTTCAATATCGTTGTGTAACGCCATGTATCTAAAATACCGATGTTTCAACATACAATGAATGTGAAGATGACTAATGAGGTATTTTATTTCATTTTTGCACTAGTCTCCTGAACCTGGTTTGTATTTTACATCTACAGTACAATTCAATTTTGGGCTAGCCACATTTTTCAAGTACTCAATGGCCATCTGTGGGGCTAGTGGCTACCATGTTGGACAGTGTGCCTAGAAGGCTCTCACCCAGAATGAATCAGCACCTGTTACAGGTTTATTCTAACGTTTCCTGGTTTCCCAACCACAGCAGAATTGAAATAGTAAGCAAATGGGAGACCCGTGGAGTGGTAATGCGTAAAAGAATCATAATTAGCTAGAACCATTCAATGCAAGCACGCTAGCCTGTCAATCCTTATGACCCTGGAAGTATTCAATGTGGCAGCTTGGTAGAGTAATTGAAGAAAACTGCTCTCTTCCCATGCTTGTCCTCCACTTCATAACCCAAGTCACCACATAAAGGCTCAATCCCATTCACTGTTCTCCAAGAAGGTAGGGACGTGTGAAGGCGTTTGTGGAAAAGGTGAAGGAATGTTTCCACCAGGTGTTGCTAAAATAAGAGGGTTGTATACGGGAGGCCTAGAAAATGGACACAGGTAGAAACCCCAGACTGCATAACGAGGCCCTCTCCATTCCTAAAGCGAGGCGCCCACAAAGGACTTGGAAGAGCCTGCAAGTGTGGCTTCCGCTGGGTGTGTCCCTCTTCATGTTCCTTGGCTCCCTACTTTTATTTCCATGCATTTCTCTTCTTGTCCATGGGACAGACCTGACGCTGGAGCCTTGGGGTCAGCAAGACTACCCCCTGGCCTCCCCCCCCCCCCTCGTGTTCAGGGACCTCAGGAATCTGGCTAGTCCCTTTCGGAAGCTTTTTGGATGGATGCCCTGGGAACGGACCACTCCATGGGTATTTGCTTGGGGCATTGGTGCCAATGTGTCGGGGTTTGCTGTCTGAGCTGTGGTACTCAGATTCCAGCCAGCAGAAAACCCACAAGATGACAACAAATCCCAAAATGGCTCGAATTGGACACCCTTCTTTGTGTTTTCTCTCTATTTGTTGCTTGTGCTTGTTCAGAAAATTATAAAGTCAGGAGTGGAGAGGGTGGGTGTCACAGAGGCAGGGTGTATCGTTCTTGTGTAAAACGTCCAGTGTGTTCCTGCCTGTAGCAATAATACGGTCTCTCTCTTTTACTCTTTTTCTTAGGCCGAGGAGTCATGTAAATGCAATGGCTGGAAAAACCCCAACCCTTCTCCCACTCCCCCCAGAGCCGATCTGCAGCAGATGATTGTCAGCCTCACAGAATCCTGCCGGAGTTGTAGCCATGCCCTCGGTGAGTTCCTCCGGCTTCCAGGACACTCGACCGATGTCCCTGAGGCCAGAAAGTGCTAGCTTCCATGAGTTCCGTGGGTTAGCCAGACTTGCTCTGTATGAGGCAACAACAAAAGAGTCTCTTGAGTCCCATGGATTCGCCGGGGAGGGAGGGCTTCGTGTGAGAGACAAGCCCTGCACTGTTTGCCTGCCTCTTCCCGCCCCCTCCAGAGCTGCATTGGGCTTGGGGATTATCACCAGATAAGATGAACGATGGGAGACCGAGGTAGAGTGATGTGTGAGGCGTCCTGATTCATTCTTGATGGGGACCTGAGAGTCTTTGACCCCTTAGGTTGAAACCTCAACCAACTGGTTTGTTGTCTTCTTATTGTTACTATTTTTCTGATTCCCTAGACTTTCTGGAAATGCTTCACTTGATCTCCATATTCTGTAGTTTCCTTGCGTCTGGTAGCTCTTTCTTCTTAGGGCTTGTGTTCTGTAAATGTTTACTCGTGTTTTCCCTTTCAACTCTGTCTGTCCCTGCGAGATAATCGTTGTCCCCGTGGCAAGAGAGACTCTGCCAGGGTTACTCAACTGGACTGTGCTAATATGTCCTTGTCCTGTAAATAGTTTTAAGATAAATATTTTTTAAGAAACTGTATTTTGTTTGAGTAGAACAAAGTTAATGGATAGCTTTCCCTATGAGATATTAAAATTACAATTCATAAAGGATCTTGGAAGATTATACATGTGCTTTTGCCTCTGTTATCCAGTGCCCCAAAGAATGTTTTTATGTCTAGTTTACTGTCCACTCTTGCAAGGACATACTGGGCAGAGTGTTCTCACTAAAGGGGCATTTTCCGCCTGCCCATTTATAAGCAGGAGGCTTCGTTATGACATCATCTTTCCCACAAGCTTCCAGCTGATATCAAATGGTACAGCATCGGCCCTCAAGGTCAGCGTGGTCTGAGGTTTTATTTTGTACTCAGCTGGAGCGTATCTCAGTATTCACAGAGCAAAACAGTAGGTAGCGTGATCTTCCCAGGAACTTACTGTACTGGAGAAATCTGAAAAAGGAAGCTGAGAAGGTGGATCTCAACAAAAGAAGTGAACACACACATAATTACATCATTGTGTTGATTTAATTGGTGTCCGACATAGTGCAAGTTCTGATTTTTTCCCCCCCAAGTTCTGATTTTTTATGCAGCCCAGTGCAAAGGAAAGATTTCAGAAATTACAGAAACAACTTTGCTTATCGCTAACTTTTTTTCACAATTGATCCCTGAGTGAGTGCCCTTTAGACTTGCCTCAGAAAATATGATGCAACTAGTGGCCTGGTGCATGAAATTCGTGCACATTAAAAGGGAATTAATTAGAGGTAATATTTTAATGCTGCTGTTTGCCCTTTCTCTATAATAGAAGTGTCAGAGATAAAAGAAAATTAGTAAAATATAAATGAAAATCTCCCTCCTGTCAGAGTCTGGGGCATGCTGTGGGACCTAGAGTCAAGTCCCTGCCACCACCCACAGGCACTTTGAAAACACAGACCCGGCTGGCCCCACCCTCATTGGGTGAGACCCAGACCAGGCTGGCCCCATCCCCATCAAGCCCTGCCAAGTGGTGGGTGCAGCCTGAGGTTCCTTGCCCCAGCCTGGTACCATGCAGCCTCAGGTCCCTGCTGTTCTGTCATGACCTTACAGTGTCTTGGCTAATTTGCATATCTTCTATTATTTAGATAGATAGATAGATAACAAGCTGGGCTCCTGAGCTCTTTAAGCACTGGGCTTGAACTGTATTTGGTGTCACTGGGAAAATTTGATTGTCCTATACCAGGTAACATTGAAAAAACAGTCTTTTTCCTTTTTTTTTTTTGGTCTTTTAGAGCCTCTTGGCTGAACAGATTGTCTCCACTCTGAGCATGTAAAGACACATGAACACTCAAAGGCAGAAATAGTCTTTTACAAAGAAAAGCCAACTTGGTCCCTTTCATATATATATATATATTTTTTTGATATATATATATATATATATATATATATATATATATATATATTTATTGATTTCAGAGAGGGAGTGAGAGATGGAAACATCAATGATGAGAGAGACTCATTGGTTGGCTGCCTCTTGCATGTCCCCCACTGGGGATAGAGCCCTGCACCACAGTCATGTGCCCTGACCGAGGATCCAACTGTGACCTCCTGGTTCATAGGTGGATGCTCAACCACTGAGCCATGCCGTCTGGGCCCCCTTTCATGTTTCTTATCAGGCTTTGACAATATATAATAGAATGGGGGGGGAAAAGGTATAGATCCTTTTACCTGGAAAATCCATGCCAAAAATTTAACCTACTTGTAAGTTAAGATGTACCTTCAAATTTAACAATTATTTTAGGGGACAATTATTATGTACTTATTCGTGATATTAAAAAAACTGGAAACAACTTAAACTTCCCAATGTAGGAGGTAATTGGTTAAATTAGGAAAACCTATGTTATGAAATTTAATATGGCCTTTAGAAAAAGATGTATTTGTCTACATAGAAAGATATTCTTAACATATTCTTCACCAAAAAAAAAAAGCAGGTCATAAGCCAGCTTAATTGGAGGTTTTTATAATTTAGGAATTAGAGGGTCAGCCAGCCCGAATTTAGTACCTGGCTGTACAACCAAGAGCTGTGAGTTGGAGCATTTTACTTAATCTGCCTGTACCTCAGTTTTCTCTGTTCAAAAATGGAGTATCTACTGCATAAGATTGTTTTGAGGGTTAAATGAGATAACACAATGCAAAGATTTTAGAACAGTGCCTGGCAAATTAATGTGTTATTATTATGAGCTCTTCTTCCACTTAAAGCAACCGATATGAATTCTGTGCAGTTTAAATAAGAAAACAGTGTTTGTCAGATGGGTACCGGGAGCTCTCAGAAGCTGAAAACAAAAGGAAATGGGGTTTCAGTAGAGGATCTTAGCGGCAGAGATTTATGGGCCTTCTGTCCTGCTGGTCGATTTTCTTCTGGTTGCTTCCATCCCTATGGCTATTGGTTCAGGACTCAAATCCCCAGAGAAGGGGATCTGACTGTTGTGGTGTCTGCCACATGCCTGCCTCTCAGGGTGGCATTCCGAAATGCATGGATATTGACTCAAGAACAGCATCATGAGTATAATCTCATTTTATTAGCCTAGAAAATACGAAATATTATAATATATATATAAACAGGAAAAGATCTGGAAGGATGTATATTGAGTTGCCGACAGCGATTTACTCAGGGTTTTGGGGTTATTATAGACTAGAGGCCGGGTGCACGAATTCGTTCACGGGTGGGACCTGGCTGGCCCGCCCTGGTGGGAGCTGATTGGGGCCGGGCCAGTGGGGGAAGGGAATGTAGGAGGTTGGCTGGCTGGCCCCACCCTCGATTGGGGTGGGGCAATCGGGCAGGAGCAGTGGCCACTGTAGTGCATAGTGACTAGTTGTTCCGGTTGCTTGGCTTTTATATATATAGATGCTTTCAAAATAATTTCCCTTCTTCCTTTCTTCCTCTTTCCCCCACTTCAGTCTGCTTTCTTAGGATTAAAATATCTTTATCTTTTCAAGTACTTTTGGAATTACTTCCAGAATGTTATTGTATCTTAGTATCAAGGCTGTAGAAAACCTTTTTCTGAGATTATGCTTCCTCCAACCCACCTCTTCCCTTTTAAAAACTTTTTATTATGGGAAGTTTCAAACATATGTAAAAAGGTAGAAAGAATAGTATCAAGACTATAGAAAAAAAACCTTTTTCCTGAGATGAAAAAGCTTAAAAAGCTTTTTATTATGGAAAGTTTCACATATGTAAAGTAGAAAGAACAGTTTAATAAACTACTTTCTACCCATCACTTCATTTACTTTTGCCATTTACCTACCTCTTTTATTGTCAGGGTATTTTAAGCAAGTTCTAGACATCTTTTAGTATTCATTCAAATTACTTCTTTTTTAAAGATGGATATTTTATTTATACATTTATTTATTTTTATATACTTTGCAAAGTGTTCCTCCCCCTGCCCCCCCCCCCCCCCCCCCCGCAATTTCCAGTACCCATCAGGCACCATACATAGTTTTTACAATATTATTCGCTATGTTATCTTTGCTATACTTTACATCTGTGACTATTTTGTAACTACAAATTTGGCCTTCTCAATCAATCCCTTTACCTTTTTTGCACCCAGTCCTCAAACCTCCTCCCCTCTTCCAATCATCAGTCTGTCCTGTGTATTTTAATACATGTGTATCTGTTGTGTTTGTTTGTTTATATTGTTCTTTAGATGCTACATATAAGTGAAATCATGTGGTATTTGCCTTCCTATGACTGACTTGTTTTACTTACATGCAGATTACTTCTCAGTGATTATCTACAGAGTACAAGTTGGGATCTAAGGAATTCTGTTAAGCATCATGCAAGCCTTGATTTTCAAATACCTTTCTGTTTGTGTATGCTGTTCTGTTTTCATTGGCACTATTCTGAGCATGGTTAATTTAGTCCCCAGTAATACACATGTGTCAATGTGTAATGCTGTTGGACTTGTCAAAACAAAACATTCAGGCTCATCGATTGAGATGATGTCTAGTCTATTGATTTGCTGTCGGGCATCTCTTGGCTCAGCTGTACACGTTCTTTTGACAGTGAGCTCTGGTTTCATGTGGTCTCCCGACAGTCACTTCCATCCCAGTCATCCTTGGCCTGCTGTAATGTGATGCTCGCCATTGTCTCCTGGTATGAAACACAGGACTTACAACAGTCCGATCACGTGGAAAGAACATTCAACTGGGAGTTAGGAAGTAAGGATTCTAGGCCTGGCTCAGCAGTTTACCAAGTCCCTTAACCTCTTTGTAATTCTATATCTTTTATCCTCATAATGAAAGGGTCAGTCTAGACCTACCTACTGTCTGATATTGTAGCCTCTTGATAAATGGGGCTAATGGTCACTGGAAATGTAGCTACTCCAATTTGAAATGTGCTATAAGTGTAGCATACATGCAAGATTTTTTTTTC